GTAATTATTTAGAGTAGTGGTTCTAAACCCTGCATGCACGTCAGAACCATCCAAGGAACTTTAATAACATGGTCATGGTCACATCCCCAGATGTTCTGACTTGTTTTCTCCCATGTAGGGTCAAGTATTGATATTTTTAGGTGTTTCCCAGTGTGTAGTCAGCATTGATAACCATTGGTAGAGTTAACTGGGGTTCCCTGATTCAGCTAAAAGATACTGAAGAGAAGATGATTATTTAAACAAAGAGAGGTTTTAGAGATATTTGGAGATTTTTTTTTTTTAAGTAGCCAACCAAGTGAAACATAGTATTTTTGTTAGGACATCAACAAAGTGTTGACACCTTCATTTCTTAAAAGAAGGTAACAGATCTTATTGCTAACTATGAGGATATGGCCATTTTATGAGTAGCTGTGGCCTTCCTGAAGTTCATCTTTTAAATAAATCTTGGGAAGGTTCTGGTTGAAATGATGTGGGAAAAAATGAAGTGGGCAAGATTTGGTGGTCTTCAGCAAAGAAACTTAAAGAATAATGTCTAGCTTCAATTTAGAAATAGTAACAAGAATATATAATCTTAATTGCTACAAGCTAGCAAAGTTGTTTTGGGTAGAGGGAGCCAACCGTCAAATGATAGACTTAAAGCTAAATTAAATTGGATCCTGCTATGGGTTGAATTGCTCTTTGTACCCCACCTCCCCAAATTCATATGTTGAAATGCTAAGGCCTAATATCTCAGAATGTGACCTTATTTGGAAACAGGGTTGCTACAGATGTAGTAAGTTAAGATGAGGTTATACTAGAGTAGAGTAGGCCCCTAATCCAGTATGATCAGAGTCCTTATGAGAAGAGAAAATTTGGACACAGACACATACAGGGGAGAACACCATGTGAACATGACAACAGTCATCTATAAGCCAAGGAGAGGCCTGGAACAGATCCCTCTCTTAAAGCCCTCAGAAGGAACTACCCTGCCAACAACTCGATTTCAGATTTCCAGCCTCCAGAACTGTGAGACAACAAATTTCTGTTGTTTTTAGCCGCCCAGTCTTGTGGTACGTGGTTACAGCAGCCCTAGCGAACTAGTAAGTCCCAGTATTTTATTCATTTTTAAAATGTAAATCTAGGAAAATTTAACATTTGAAATTTTGCCATGCCTTCATTTAAGAGGTTGGGAACCATTTCTCAATCAGGAATTTTAGAATGTGTGATTATAAAAGTTTTAGGTTACTGGTAACTCAGACTTGAGCCAGTTAGTTGCTAGTCAATCAGTATAAAAGGCAGGAATTTATCACGAGCCTAGACCAGGAGCTTGGGTTTCTGGAGTGTGTATTTTCCTTCCATTTATGTTAATAGAGGGGGGAGATTCTTTCCATACCTGAGAGGGGTTTCCTAGATGTATTTTGTATATACAGATTCAGGCCTGTTACCTGACATGTAGAGTTGGTCTGTTTGTTGTATATGATTTAAAAGCACCCTGGAGAAATTAGAGATGAACAACTTTGAATGTACATCGCCATTTCAGTGGAATAGAAAAGAATAGCCCATGCTTTTCATGAGAGGAGCGAGTACCTTAGAGAAAGACAGCATGGCTAAGTCGGGAGTGATCCGGGGAAGTCCCTGTCTATGGCCCGCAACAAAGTTCATAATAAACTCAGATTGGAGAAGCCCTGCGAGTGATGATATAGAAAGTCATACCTTAAACACAGCACAGCCCCTTGCCTTTTTTGTTTTTTTAAACAGAGCCAAGTAAATATGCCAGTAAAACAAAACGGCACCATGTTTAAGGCTGACCATAATGGTGTACAGGCAAAGAACCATAGACCTTAGAGTCCGTTTCAGCTAAGGTTCTACCACTTACTAGCCATATGACTTGTGGTAAATTATTTCCCTTCCCCTTGAGCTTGTGTTTTCACATGTAGAAAACAGATAATCCAGTGTATCTCCCTCATAGGATTTTGAGATGATTAAATAAGGTAGTAATTCATATAAATAAAGCAATGAGCAGAATACCTGGTGCATGTTAGGTGCTAATAAATGTTAGTTAATAGCACTAGCAGAGGCAACAGGTAGGTGGCCCCTGTGCATGCTAGCCCCCCCCCCCCATTTAGTCTGTAAGCATGAATCTCTTCTATTGTAACGTTATATACTTATTTTTAGCATCCATGCCTTAATACATCTTAACAAAACAAAACCTGGAAGTGCCCTTAGGATCAGCTAGTTCTCTTCTTTCATTTAAAGTGAGGAAAATGGCACCTGGGTGGCTCAGTCAGTTAAGCATCCGCCTTCAGCTCAGGTCATGATCCCAGGGTCCTTTGATTGAACCCCGCATCGGGCTCCCTCCTCAGCGGAGAGTCTGCTTCTCCTCCCTCTGCCACTCCCTCCTGCTTGTGCTTGCTCTCTCTCTCTCAAATAAATAAATAAAAATCTAAATAGATAAAGTGAGGAAAATGATAGTAGGATTGGAGAATGCCTGAGGTCTTATGGTTCACAGTCTTTCTTTTTTACATGTTGCTACTTTCAAAATCTCAGAACCATGTGTCTCTTTTCATTCCATTTTTTTTTTACCATTTTTTTCTCCTTTTCATTCTTAATTTAAGTTTTTTTACTTCAAAGGAAATTAATTTTCCTGCTCTGTTACAGTTAACATTTTTCTTAATAAACGGTTTAAAAGTTATTAAAATCTTTGAAGTGAAATTAAAAGTTATTATTTAAAGTAAATTGAGGGGTGCCTGGGTGGCTCAGTCTTTAAGCGTCTGCCTTCGGCTCAGGTCATGATCCAGGGTCCTGGGATCGGGCCCCGCATCGGGCTCCTTGCTTGGCGGGAAGCCTGCTTCTCCCTCTCCCACTCCCCCTGCTTGTGTTTCCTCTCTCGCTGTGTCTCTCTCTGTCAAATACATAAAATCTTTAAAAAATAAAGTAAATTGAAATAAGCTTTATTATACATAGACTGTCTCTATTAGGGAACAAAGAAACTGGTAGCAGGGTTTGTCTCTAGGGAGGGGCACTGATGGAGAAGTAGCATTGATTAGTGTTATAACAGTGTGTTCCTGAGACCTAGAAATTCTGGAGAATAGAGTAATCATTTCTTCCATTTCACTTACTGGTGAGTAGAATAGAACAAGGAAGAAAATGGTAACAAATATCTGTAGTTATTTGAAACTTGAGAACTATGTTGATTTAGATAAAATTTTGGAGATATCCCTTGTAATACCCATACCTTTAACACTCACTACCCCACATTTCAGGAGCCAAGTAGGTTTGGTTTCATTTGGGTGAGGACTGCTCCTGGGAGTTGCTTTGACATGCCTCTGTCTCTGACTTCATGGGTGACCTTGGGTAAATTTCTTATCTAATTCTCCCTCTGCCAAGGGATAGAGGTGATAAGCTCTATTCTTACCTGGTACATAGAGTTGTTGCAGCATAAAATGAAATCATGTGAAAATTAACTCAGTTCTGGGTCCGGCCTCATTAGAAGACTAGGGGGGCTTAACCTTGAGCTCTTACGAGAGAAGTATGTTTCAGTAAGCACATGTTCATGCTAGGTTGGATTGCATGTGCAGCATTCGCCTCTTAAAAAAGAGAAAAGGGGGGCTGCTTGGGTGGCTCAGATGGTTAAGTGTCTGCCTTCCGTTCAGGTCATGATCCCAGAGTCCTGGGATCCAGCCCCGCATCGGGCTCCCTGCTCAGTGTGGAGCCTGCTTCTCCCTCTCCCTGCTGCTCCCTCTGCTTGTGTGCTCTCTCTCTGACAAATAAATAAATTAAATCTTAAAAAAATAAAGTGAGAGAAAAGGAAAGCCCAATGACTATGCTTTGCCTTGGCCATTGTATAGACTTCCTCTCGTGTGTGTGTGTGTGTGTGTGTGTGTGTGTGTGTGTGTGTGTGAGTTTTACAGTGCAATGTGTGAGCCTCCTACTTTCTGTTTTAAAACTTACGATTTGGGGAGTCAGTTACTTCTGACTTCCTCTTTTTTTTTTTTTTTTTTTTTTAAAGATTTTATTTATTTATTTGAGAGAGAATGAGAGATAGAGAGCACGAGAGGGAAGAGGGTCAGAGGGAGAAGCAGACTCCCTGCCGAGCAGGGAGCCCGATGTGGGACTCGATCCCGGGACTCCAGGATCATGGCCTGAGCCGAAGGCAGTCTCTTTAACCAACTGAGCCACCCAGGCGCCCCTTCCTCTTTTCTGAAATAGGAAGAAACGTTTTGGATTAAAATGATCCAAATATATTCTAGGGTTATTAACCATAAATTTCAGAGCATAGTATTCTTGAAGGCACAGACAGTATGTTTAACCCAGAGAGTGATATCTTAATGTTGAATTGAAGTAGTTAAATTCTTAGGATAGAAGTTGCATTTAACCTCAGTGTGCAGTGCTACAGATATGTTAATTGTACTCTGTATATAAGGTAATATTCATGTATTTAGGAAATACACACTGAATTATTTAGGGTTAAAGGAAGAATGTCTACCACTATCAAACAAATCAGAAAAAATAGAAATAATAAGATAGAAAGATAGCGATAGACATGATCAAAAATTTTGCGATCTTATGACTAGATAGAAAATGAAAGTTAATTTTCCCATTTGAGCCAAAAGCTACTGTTAAACACAGGCTATGTGACAGTGATGGTGTAATATTTATTAAGCTTCTGTGTTTTTTTCCTGTCAAACTTTTGTTGAGATTTTATGTAATTGTACATTTCATTTGTTGTATGCTGCTTTTTATGAATTAATGATACTAGCATTTTTTTAATTTAATGTGGTTTATAAGTATGCTTTTATGGGGTTTTCCAATGAAAACTTGGTTGTTAAGACCCAAGGTTGATAATAAAAGTTTTATTTGGTCTTAATAGATATATATTGTCTGCAGCCCAGGAAGATTGTCAAGATTTAAGTAGCTGATGATAGAAAAGCTAAATTGATGTCCAGTATAAAATATTTTTTGGTTGTATTTAACAAAAGCAAACACTTTGTTAATCCTTTTTTCTCCCTCACCCCTCCCAGCTTGGTGACCCAGCTATTTTTCCTGCCGTAATTGTGGAGCATGTTCCTGGTGCTGACATTCTCAATAGTTACGCGGGTCTGGCCTGTGTGGAAGAGCCCAATGACATGATTACTGAGAGCTCCCTGGATGTCGCTGAAGAGGAGATCATAGATGATGATGACGACGACATCACGCTTACAGGTGTGTGTGCCTCCAGCAGCACCTTACCTCAGCGTGGTTTTGGGCAGTTTCCTTGCCCGGTGATTTTTGGGGAGTAAGAAGTCCTTAACTTGGTTTCAGGGAACTCCATTACCTACAGAGGCTAGAGCAGGGGGAAGAAAATTATATTTCCTCCTCATCTACCTGTGTTTCATACTGCTTTCTCACCTCGCCTTCCTTCTTTCCTAAATATATTGAGGTGAATGTGATATATAGGGATATATAAGAAGAACCAGACCAACGGAACACTTTGTCAGGTATTCACTGAATGCTTCTTATATACCAAGCTGTGTATTCTTGATAACAATGAGAAGTTGTTTGTAGGGAAAAATATAGGATTGTTCTTCTTTTACTTTTACTGCTGTCACAAGAAGCAAAATAGGAGGCTGTGACCCAGATGTAGGATCAGGTCCTAGGGTTTAAAGATTTCTCTTCTGGTTCAGTCAGAACTAGGAGCATATTTGAAACGTGAAGAGTTCATGGTGTAAGTGTGAGGTGGTGCATAATGCTGTTTTCATCAGTTTTAGAATTTGGTACGTACGTTTGTATTTTTATACATTTACATTGATCTCTCTGGGCCAGAGGTGTTGGAGGTGTTTGAGAAAATTAATTATTTGGAAGCAAAGGTTATTTGAATATTTATTCTTAAATTTTAAAAAAGAATAGGAAATTGGCATCAGTCACAGTGTTATTAACTAAACCTACACTTTATTTGTATGCCAGCCATTTCAAACTAATGTCCTTTTTCTGTTTCAATATCCTATCTATAATCTTACATTTAGTTATTTCTTCTTAGTCTCTTCCAGTCTGTAACAGTTCCTCTTTCTTTGTCTCTCAGTAACCTTGACACTTTTTTTTTAAAAAAGATTTTATTTGTTCATTTGACGGAGAGGGAGAGAGAATGAGCAGGGGGAGGAGCAGAGGAAGAGGGAGAAGCAGGCTCCCCGCTGAGCAGGGAGCCTGATGTGGGACTCGATCCCAGGACCCTGGGAACACGACCTGAGCCAAAGGCACACACTCAACCCACTGAGCCACCCAGGCGCCCCTAACCTTGACACTTTTGAGGAGCGCTGGTCAAACATTGTAGTATGTCCCTCAATTTTATTTCTGTGATATTTTCTCATTATCTCGACTGAGATAATGCATTTTGAGCAAGAATACCACCAAAATGGCATTGTCTTCTTAGTGCATCGTATTAACATAGATTTTATTTTATTTTTTTTTAAAAAGGAAGATTTTTAAAAGTTTATCTCATTTAATTCTCACAAGACAAAAAGAAAAAAAATTAGGTTAAATGAAATGACTTGCCTAAGATCACACACCAAGTGACTGAGTCCCTACTGATAACATTGACAAACAACACTTAGTTTTTGTATTGTCCTCTGTTTTTTACAAAGCATATCCTATATTCACATTTTTTGTTCAGAGGAACCCAATGAAAGTTTTTCTGATAAATCTAGACTTACCAGATTTTTCCTTACCAGTTAGGAAATTAGATTACTCAGATGAGAGGTTTCCATTCATTACTGACAGTGAGTTATGTGTTTTGTTATAATAGAATGTTCATCGCTGTGCATATATATCTGTTGTATAGCTATTCTGTCGTAACTTCTTGATGCCTTAGTGTAAGGCTACACTGTCTCTGTAGGTTGGGAATGAGGGTCTCCCCTGAAGTCATCAAGGTGGTCCTCAGAGAAGAAATTACTAGGGAAGCAGATATGGGATCTTTAGGAGAAGGAATTACTTCTTTCTTTCAGTATTTCACTTTCTTGGGCTTGGACTTGAAGACAGCTGATGGCAAAATACAGACAGCCTCCTTCCTTCCTGGAAAATAGAACTGGTATTGAATGGGTCTAGAAGACAAGCCGCCATATCTTGAAAATCAGATTCACTATTTTCATATTTCTTCTCCCTCCCCTATTTTATTTCCCAACTTGAACCTTTATTTAACTCTTCCATCCTTGTTTGAGCAATGACATAAGAAAGCAAAGAACACTGGAGCCCTCCTGAGTTCAGAGTAAGAGAGGGAAGAATGTTGTGCTTTTCAGAAACTACAGGGGGAAAAGAGATAGGGAGAAAAGAATTTATAAACTTTGAGTCCTAGATAGCACTTCAGATGATATTAAGGAATTGTTAATATTTTTAGGTATGACAATAACATACCATACATATGCCAAAATATTTAGAGATGAAATAGAGTGTCTTAGATTCCTTCAAAATAATCGCAGGGAGTGGGTGTGGGGTGTGTGTGAGGAGACCTTGGGGGCAGTAATTGGAGTAGGAATGAAAGAAGATGGACCTTGTGCTGATAATGGTTAATTCTCACATATGTGAGAATTCATTATACTGTGTTCCATAATTTGATTTTGTTTGAAATTTTCAATAATAAAAAGATCTATTTTTATGGGTTTGAGGCTTATATTAGACTGCAGGTGTCATCTGTATACCCTGATATCAGATTTTCATGTTCATTACAATACTTTCATTTTTATCATCGTTTATCTCTTATCAAGTTTGATGTATATTTGAACCTGTAAAATAAATGTATAATAGTAAAATACCACTTTTATCTGTTTATATGATAGAGTTCCTACATAAAGTTTCATTTGAAAAAAGGTTATGGTGTTAACAATTTTTGAAAGTCATTTGATCATGATTTCTTTGTATGTGGAGATTCTTCCATTTCCAGTTTTTGAAGATGTAAAAGTAAAATTATTAATGGAGATGGTACAAATTCTATTTTCTCAAATAGAAGGTAACCATGATGACTATATTCATTAGTAAATCTTCTCTTTTAAATAATACTATTATGTGTCTCTTCATATGTATTCTTGTCTGCTTTTACAAGGTCAAATGCAATTTTTAGTAATTCATAATAATATCAAATGTATTTAATAAATTATTCCCTAAGTTATTATAGTATATGGTATAAATAGATTTTAACTAATTGCTAGATCACAGCTAATCTGTTACAAAGAAGTTTTAAAATGCATGTATGAAAAGCTTGTGGGGTTTATTATTGCCAAAAGAAATTTTTTTTTAAAGATTTTATTTATTCATTTGAGACACAGAGATAGAGCGCATGAGGAGGGAGAAGCAGGCTCCCCGCTGAGCCAGGAGCCTGATGTGGGGCTCTATCCCAGGACCCTGGGATCATGACCTGAGCTGAAGGCAGACGCTTAACCGTCTGAGCCACTCAGGCGCCCTGCCAAAAGAAATTTCTGTCATCCATTTATTGAAGGGCTAACATTTTCTTTGTTTTTAAAAGCTAGATATACTTTTTTGGTTTTCTTTCATGTTTCATGTAGGATCAACTCATTTATTTTGCTTTTCTCAATCTAAGCACTGAAGCTGAATGGAATAAACAAAGTTTTACAAACTAACTTTGATACTAAACATATTTAACTTGCCTCATATTTTTGAAATACGAAAGGTGACATGATTTCTGTATATAGCTGTGGAATGATTTTTACTGTATAGTAAGTTAAAAAGGCAAGGGTGAGGTAGCATAAATAGTATATTACTTTTTATTTAAGATAGGAAAAAGAATATAAATGATGTGTGTCTTTGTTTGTATTTAAAAAATAGAAAAATAAACCTCAAAACTAATAAAAATGGTTTCGTACAGGGAAAAGGAAGGGGCAGGGATAAAAGGTAGATTTTCTAAATGTACTTTGTTTTGTCATTTTTACTTTGGAACCCTGTAAATATTTAACAATTATAAAACAACACTAAGTCCAAAAGAGGAAAAATGAGCAATCTAAAAATTGAAGCACACTAAAACAAATGAACCTAATTACATTTTTGAGATGTGGCATAACCATATAGAGAAGAATTACTTAAAGTGATTTTTTTGGGGGGTGCCCGGGTGGCTCAGTTGGTTAAGTGTCTGCCTTTAGCTCAGGTCATGACCCCAGCATCCTGGGATTGAGCCCCACATCAGGCTCCCTGCTCAGCGAGGGTCTGCTTCTCCCTCTGTGTGCTCACTCTCTCTCTCTCTCTCTCTCTCACACTCTCTCAAGTAAATAAATAAAATCTTTTAAAAAAAAGATTAAAGTGATTTTTAAATAGATTTTATTTATTTATTAATTATTTAGAGAGAATGTGAGTCGGGGAGAGGAAAAGGGAGAGGGAAAAAGAGAATCTTTTTTTTTTTTTTTTTTTGGAAAAAGAGAATCTTAAGCAGGCTCCTAAGCAGGCTCCACGCCCAGCATGGAGCCCGCTGAGGGGCTCGAACTCACAACCCTGAGATCATGACCTGAGCCAAAATCAAGGGTCAGACACTTAACTGACTAAGCCACCCAGGCACCCCTAAAGTTACTTTTAAGGCTGTGCATTTCCTAACAGGAAATATCCTAAAAAGCAAAAAATAAAAATAAAGCTGCTAAGGAATCTTAAACTGTTTTCAATAATTACAACTTGTGTGAGTGTGTGTATATGAGAGAGATGTTAGGGTAAAATCAAATAAATAATGAAGTTAATGTCATAAGCCCAGATTTACAGAGTAAAATTAGGTATACAAATGTTAAATTGCAAAGTTAAATAAAAATTTTATAATCCTATTAATGCTATATAAATACATGGTATAAATATATAATTCTAGAAATACATTTTATGCTAAATTTGAATTGAAAATACTAGTATGAACTCATGGTCTATTTTTTTCTTTAAAAAAACAAAGACAAAATATTTTTTAGCCAAACATGGGACAACTGAAGCATTAATAAGGACAATAACTAATGGATTGAAGTATATCTAATATGTTTATTTTTTATTTTTAAAGAACTCATTTATTTATTTTAGAGAGAAAGAGCAGGGGGGAGGGGCAGAGGGAGAGGGAGAGAGAAACCCAACCAGACTGCTCTGAGCACAGAGCCCAATGCAGGGCTTGATCGCAAGACCCTGAGATCATGACCTGAGCCAAAACCAAGAGTTGGCCGCTTAACTGACTAAGCCACCAAGGTGCCCTCTCCTTTTATTTTTTTAAAGATTTATTTATGTATTTTAGAGAGAGAGAGCAGGAGTGGGAGAAAGGGCAGAGAGAGGGAGAGAAGCATTAAAAAATTAGAAGTAGAGGGGTACCTGGGTATCTCAGTCAGGTAAGCATTCCCACTCTCGAGCTCAGCTCAGGTCTAGCTCCTCAGGGAATCGGTGTTCAAGCCCTGTGTCGGGCTCCGCACTGGGGGCGCCTACCCAGAGCCTACAAGAGAAAAGGAAGAAAGAGAGAATTTAATAGTCATATTCAATAATATAGATTTTATCTGTTGATACAAAGTATGTATATAAACCCAAGTATTAAGTGATGTTCCAGAGATCAAAATCTGTGTGTTTTCAAGCAACAAGAGGTCTTGTAGCTAACTCATATTTTTTCCAAACGTGTTGTAGTTGAAGCCTCCTGTCCTAATGGGGACGAGACGATTGAGACGATTGAGGCTGCTGAGGCACTCCTCAATATGGATTCTCCTGGCCCTATGCTTGACGAGAAACGAATAAGTGAGTGGTCATGTGCCGTGATTGTTCATGTCCATACACTTGGAACAGTTATTCTTGCCACCATTCTCTGTTAGATGGCAAATACCAAGAGACCAGAGATCATGTTTGATAAGTGTTGTGTCCCAAGTGCATTTTAAGGTACAGTACTAGTTGAGACACCTTTGCTAAAGTATTCAGTTAAACAAGACTTTTTTTTTTTTTTTTTTAATTGAGGAGGGAGACCTTTAGGAATAAAAGCAGAATTTATTCTCGTAACCTCATTGATGAAAGTATTAGGGCATTTACGGCCCAGACTATTATAATTTAATGATCCGTATGAGGATTCATCAGTGAATAGGCAAAAATTCATTGAAAAAATTTCTAACACCTCATGGCAGAAAATTCACTGCCGCCTTATCGATCTGCTTTTAAATCCATGTTCTCCTTTGAGCTTTTCTGACAGAGTGTCAAACTCATAAAATTAATTATTACTAAGTGAATTTAAGATGTGGTTTGAGTATTTGTATGCACAGGAGTGCATTAGGCAATAATGTGATGTATAAATGAACAGATAACTTTTTTTTCCCTCAAGTTTACAGATTAATTTTGAAGGTAGTTGTTTATGTAATAGCCAAAAATAAAGGCCATGGAAGGGATAGCAAAGTGTTCTGGAAGAAAAGAGTACTCTGGCTGAGAATATCAGAGACAGGCTCTATGGAAGAAATGTTTTAACCTGGGCCATAAAAGACAAATAAGCTTTTAGTGGAAAGAGGAGATAGGGACAGGCATTTAAGGTAGAGAGAATGGGTTGAGCCAAGGAGACAAATCTGTAAAAAAACAGTGAAATGTTTGAGATAAAAATGCTTTGGTATAGCTGAAGTGTAAGCTTCTTGGTAGGTGGGAGATGAGAGTGGAAAGGTAGATTTGATCGAGATTGTGCAAGTTTCAAATGTCAGGCTGTGGAGTTTGGGTTGCTCTTATCGTTTTTTTCCCCTCTATGAACTGTGTGAAAGGTCAGTTTTATTTTTCTAATAATTTTCAGGGTAGAAAGTTTTGCATAGCAGAATTCTATGGTCAAATCAGACTTAGGTTTCAGAGAATAACTTTAGCAGCAATGAGAGAAGAATGGAGAAGCGAAACAAGATAGATTGGTGATAGGCAGTCAAGTAAGAAGGGCATTGAATTAGTCCTGTCAAGCCTGGTCTGTCTTAGGACGCCTAATTTTGGACAGAAGAAATAAGGGACCAGATTTTTCATAGAAACAGAAAACTATCTGATGAAATTATTTTGATTTATAATACAAAGTTAATTATAATTAGTTGATTTTATTTCCATTAGATAATAATATATTTAGTTCATCTGAAGATGACATTGTTGTTGCCCCAATCACCCATGTATCCGTCACATTAGATGGGATTCCTGAAGTGATGGAAACTCAGCAGGTTCAAGAGACATATGCACACTCACCAGGAGCATCATCACCAGAACAACCTAAAAGAAAAAAAGGTGAGTGGTTAATTTGTTTAGGGCAAACAATCAAATTTTGATGTGGAATCTAAACATAATTTTTATTCGAGGCTATTTCTACACCAATTAAAACTTAGATAAGAAAAGGTGAGGGTACAAAGCATAAGTTAAGAGGTATATGTCGGGGCACCTGGGTGGCCCAGTCGTTAAGCGTCTGCCTTCAGCTCAGATCAGGATCCCAGGGTCCTGGGATCAAGCCCTGCTTCGGGCTCCCTGCTCAGTGGGAAGCCTGCTTCTCCCTCTCCCACTCCCCCTGCTTGTGTTCTTTCTCTCACTGTCTCTCTCTTTCTCTGTCAAATAAATAAATAAAATCTTTATAAAAAAAATAAAACTTGAAAATTAAAAAGAAAATGATCTTCCCATGAATGAAGGGAGGGACATCGGAGGGGGAGGTGAACCATGAGAGATGATGGACTCTGAGAAACAAACTGAGGGTTCTAGAGGGGAGGGGGTGGGAGGAAGGGTTAGCCTGGTGATGGTATTAAAGAGGGCACATTGTGCATGGAGCACTGGGTGTTACACACAAACAATGAATCATGGAACACTACATCAAAAACTAATGATGTAATGTATGGTGATTAACATAACATAATAAAAATAAATAAATAAAAAGTAACATGAAAAGAGCAAAAAAAAAAAAACGATCAGTCCTATTAAAGAGTACGGGTAGGGGCACCTGGTGGCTCAGTCGTTAAGCGTCTGCCTTCAGCTCAATCCCCCTGCTTGTGTTCCCTCTCTTGCTGTGTCTCTCTCTGTCAAATAAATAAAAAATCTTTAAAAAAAAAAAAAGGTATATGTCTTCATATTAGATTCATTAAAAAATTAGATTATTTGGTGTATCTCGCAGAAATCGGGTTTTCCAACTTTTTTTTTTAAAGATTTTATTTATTTATATGACAGAGGGAAGCAGCAAGAGAGGGAACACAAGCAGAGGGAGTGGGAGAGGAAGAAGCAGGCTTCCCACAGAACAGGGAGCCCGATGTGGGGCTCAATCCCAGGACCCTGGGATCACGACCCGAGCCGAACGCAGCCGCTTAATGACTGAGCCACCCAGGTGTGTCCCAGGTTTTCCAACTTTTTAAAGCCTCAATCTTTTATCTAAACCCTTTTATGCAAACTCAGAAAGAGCTTGGGTAAGGGCAGTTAGCTTCTAGCTTCCTTCCACAGGACATATTTTGAAAACCACTAGCATGGATTCCAGTATAAGAGTCCAGTGGGGAAAATAATGAGTTGGAAATCAGCTGGTAAGTAATTGAAGAGGAAAATGTTAGATTTTAATTAGATTTAAATTTCAAAGGGAATTTTTAAAAAAAATTTTTATTTATTCATGAGAGACCGAGAGAGGCAGAGGGAGAAGCAGGCTCCCCACTGAGCAGGAAGTCCGATGCGGGACTCGATCCCAGGACCCCAGGATCATGACCTGACCCAAAGGCAGATGCTTAACCATCTGAGCCACCCAGGTGCCCTCAAAGGGAATTTTTCATCTAAAGTCTGATGCTCTTTCCATTTCATTGCCTTCTGACTCCTCCAGTTTGTGTAATATTTTGAGTTTAATATCTTGGTTAATCACCAGCCACCCAGAACCTCACTTCACGTGAAAGTAAGGGAAAGTCCAGGAGCCCAAAGAGAAGAGGAAAATGAAAACACTAAGAGTGAGCTGAGGCCGCAGCATCTCTGAAGGGCTGAGATGGGTACGTCAGTTTGATTGCCCATGCAGATGCTTTCGTCTTGGTCCAGTGCAAGATGAGGTATCACATAGAGACTTTAGCATGTCATTGGGATCCTTGAATGGCTCTCCCCTCCTGGGAGAAACAGTCCACTCATTGGCACAGAACAGGTGTCAAGGCTAGCTGGGGCTCTGAGTGGAGAAATTCTTTCTGTAAGAATTCATAATCATAGGCTTACTTTAACCTAGGTTTATGATTAGATTTTATGATTAGGTTTTAAACTATCACTGACTTTAGAAATTCTGAGCCAAGTAATTAATGTAAAAGTGACTCCAGACTGACAATAACTTTGGAGTACTAGGCAGAAGCTCTTCTATAAAACTGCTCTGGCAAGTCGTACATTTAAACCCAGGCTGCATGGTGTTTCCTCAAATAAAGCCCTGTTGAAGATGAGCTCACATTGCAGTATCACAGAATACACTAGGAAGAGAATTCCTGAATAAGAAGCAGAAGACATAGATGATTCTAGGATTAGTTCTCAAAGAACTTCAGGTAATAGAATTATCAAATAGAAACTTTCTGTGACTATGACTACAATTATTACAATTATTAAGGCAAAAGAATGAAAACAAAATACCAGGTAGAACTTCCACTTCTAGACAAGATGGAAAAACAGAACACAATTTGGGAATGATTTGGGGGATGTGACAACAAAAATAAAAATTAGTAAGTGGGACTACATTAAACTAAAAGGCTTCTGCATAGGAAAAGAAACTATCGGCAAAATGAAAGGGCACCTACAGAATGGGAGAAGATATTTGCAAGCCATATATCTGGTAAGGGGTTAATATCCAAAATGTATAAGGAACTCCTACAACTCACAGAACTCCTACAACTCAATACCAAAAAAGCCAAACAATCTGATTAAAAAATGGACAGAGAACCTGAATAGACATTTTTCTAATGAAGACCTACAGATGGCTAACAGGTACATGAAAAGATATGCTCAACACCACTAATTGTTAGGGAAATGCAAATCGAAACCACAGTAAGCTATCACCTCACACCTGTCACAGTGGCTGTCATCAAAAAGACAGGAGATAACAAGTGTTGGCAAGGATGTGGGGAAAAAAGGAACCCTTGTGCACTGCTGGTGGGAATGTAAATTGGTACAGCCACTATGGAAAACAGTATGGAGTTTCCTCAAAATAGTAAAACTACAAACACCCTATGATCTAGCAGTCTTATTCCTGGGTATATATCCAGAAGAAATTAAAATAAGGTATTGAAGAGATACCTGCACTCTCATGTTCACTGCAGCATTAAGAAACATAGGTGGACCTTGAGGGCATTATGCTAAGTGAAATAAGAGAAAGACAAATACTGTGTGCTATCACTGACATGTAGAATCTGAATAGCCAAACTCATAGAGACAGAGAGAGTGATTGCTGGGGGGTTGAGGAAATGGGGAGATGTCAGTCAAAGGGTACAAACTTCCAGTTATAAAATGAATAAGTTCTGGGGATCTAATGTACAGCATGGTAACTTTGGTTAACAATACTGTATTATATACTTGAAAGTTGCTAAGAGAGTAGATCTTAAATGTTCACACCCAAAAAACCAAGTAATTATTATGTGAGGTGATGCTATTTTAACCAGCCCTCCTGTGGTAATAATTTTACAACATAGAAATATATCAAATTATCATATATACACCTTAAAAATACACAATTATATGTCATTATATCTCAGTAATGCTGGAAAAAATTTTTAATAAAGAAACCCCCAGAACCTGGATTTACCCTCCTATTAAAACAACTAAAAATACAGACAAAATGTCTGAAACAAGACATCAGTCAACAAAAGCAAGTGGTCCTGAGAAACAGGAAACAAATGAGGTGAGCCCTATGATGACCCCACCTTACTGCATGGAGAAATTTTTTTTTTTTGAAAAAAACAGTTTGACAGTTCCTTAAAACATTTAATGCATACTTAACATGGGACCCAGCCATTCTTCTACTCAGGATCTATCCAAAAGAGATGAAGTCATACATTTATAGAAAAACATCTGCATGAATAAGTGTTCTTAGTTTTATTTGCAATAGCCCAAAACTTGAAACAACCCAAATGTCTATTGACTGCTGACTGGATAAACAACTTTGTGGTATATATCTATCCAAGGAAATACCACTCAGCAATAAAATAGAATGTACTGTTGATACATACAACAAAAATTGATGAATCCCAACATAATTATGCTAAAGGAAAGAAGCCAGACTTAACATATTTTATATATATGTATATATATATGTAAATATATGTTTCTCTTCATATAAAATTGTGGGAACTGCAAACTATAATGACAGAAAATCTGTAAATAGTTGGCTACCTTTGGATCAGGCAGAGTGGGAAAGGTATAATGATTACAGAGGGGTACAAAGTACTTTTGGGGGTGAAGAATACGTTCACTATTTTGAACATAGTGATGGTTTCACAGGTCAGTACTTATGTTGGAAGATATCAAATTATATATTTTAAACATACACATTTTCATTGTATGTTATACTTCAGTAAAGCTATTTTTAAAGTGAAGGACTAACATCCTACTTAATAGGGGAAGCCTGATGTGATAAGGAACCAAATAGGACACATAACATATGGGTTAAACAGCAGATTAGTCACTGTTTAAAAGAGAATTAGTGAGCTCCAATATAGACCTGATATAGAATAAAAAATATGAGTTTGAGATGTGAGGATTGAATGAAAAGGTCTGCATGTTTAATCAAAGTTCCAGAAAGAGAGAATATGTAGAGGGAGGAAGAGGCAGTATTCCAAGATAATGACTGAGAGTTTTCCAAAGTGACATAAATCTCAGCATGGTGAATCCTGAGTACCATAACTATCAAAGAAATCCAGGCCTAAATACATTAGAGTAAAAATGCAAAACACTGCCCCCCCAGCCCCCACCAAAAAAAAAAAAAAAAAAGATGAAACTAACAAACCAGGGAGAAACTACATTACTTGAAGAGGATTGATTTTTAGATTGGCAGCTTAGAAGCTCCCTGTAGAGGCTGGAAGTGTTGGGTATCTTCAAAGTATTGAGAAGAACTGTCAACCAAAAATCCTATACCCAACTCACATAGAACTCCCATGAAGCCATGCCACCTTGAATGGTAAGGAAGATGATGGAAAGGATGGATATTAGGTAGGTTTACCAACTGTCTCTTGTCTTGACTAGAACTAGTGGTGAAAACAGTGTGAAGAAGAAAGTGATGTTATCTATCAGGAAAAGTAGGTAAATAGAAGGCATAAAATAAGATGGTAGGAGGGATAGGAGCTAACGGAAGTCTTTGCTCCTAATATTTGTTATCATTAACATAGTCACCCAGAAGTATCTGTCTCATGAATAGTTCTCTACAGATGTCTGCAGTGATGGAAGTGAAGTACCTGGATGACTGGGTTCCATATTTATACATTAAGAGGGGCCTGAAGAGTGACCTTTTGATACGCTTCTCCCTGATTCTTATTCACCCTAACTTCAGAAAGGTTTTCCTACTCGGTTTGGGGATGTGTTGTTACTAACCTTGTGACTTTAGCTCTAGAATTCTGTTCTTCTAAGTTATTGCCTTATATTATCCTAACCCAGAATTCACCCTTGTGATCTAGACCAGATAGAGTCAGCCTCAAGAATATTGGGATAAAGGGGCACCTGGCTGGCTCAGGCGGTAGAACATGAGACTCTTGATCTCGGGTCTTGAGTTTGAGCCCCACATTGGGCATAGAGATTACTTAGTTAAAAAAAAAATGATGGGATAAAATATACTAAGGTATCCGTTTATACTTAATTTTCATTTCTTTCATGTACAGAATGGTAGTCTGTTCAGATAGCGTGATCATCTCAACATAAACTATAAAGTTTGTTTTGCTGTGAATTAAAAGAAGTCTAGAAAATGGGAGTTTTCAAAATACATGGGAAAATAAAAACTGACTATGTAGTTCATCAAAATTTTGCTTCATGCATTTTTGTATCTCTAGGGTTTTGGGAAGTTTCCAGTGTTTAAGAGCTACATAAGAATTGATTTCTCCTACTGTAAAAAGTTTATCTAACCAACAGATAAACCTATATGGCTTATTTTTTGAGCCCAAGTCTTACCAACATCAAGAATAACCCCCAGATTTTAAGAAAGTGCTGTCAGTTTTGTTACCTCACAATATTTTAAACTTAACCTCATTTTTATAAATGAGCCGATGTGTCATTTCCTACATAAAAATGTTTGTGATCTAACCTACACTAACAATACATTTTCACTGAAGTTCTTTTCCTTTTGAGTAAATAGTATTTTAGGAAACCAGCATGTATGATATTGTATATGTGTATAAAATATTTGGCATTTGAAATTTAGGATAAATGACCAAATAGCATTTATAAACAGCTAAATTGTCCATTTCTCTCACTTTTGATGGCAAATCCTTATGCAGAGCTGTTCTGTTTTCAGGGAGAAAAACAAAACCTCCACGACCAGATTCCCCGGCCACTACGCCAAACATATCTGTGAAGAAGAAAAACAAAGATGGTAAGGGTAAGTATGATAATTTCCTTACAATACTTACAGGTCAAATAACATTTAGATTGCTTTAAATTATCTACATATCATAAGTAAAATCTACCAGCTCTCTTGACTTACTGAAATGGATCTTCTTGCTGCCAAATGCTTATAAGGTATAGTTGGCACTTTCTGTAAAGAGACTGGTAATAATGGAGCCCAAGAAACCCATTTAAGAGATTTTTCTTATGTACCTGTCAAAATAATCCATTCTTTAATATTGCGCCTTTTGGAAGAGTTCAGCCAGGTTAGCTTTTCAGTTCGTAGACACTTTATAACATTGTTTTGGAGTTCCGCTATTTTCATAACCGTTGCCCGAATTTGAAGAAGAATGTTAAGACCGTTCTACTGGCTCTGCTATAAAGAGAACAACTATTGAGAGGTTTCATACAACATTTGTTCACTGGCTCTTTTATGTAGTGGTTCTGAAAGAGGTAGGAAAAGTGCTTCATCATCTCAAAATGCTTTATTTTCAAGTCATCATAAATCTAATTGCCAATATTGCTCTGTCCAGACATCTCATATGGGACGAATAAAAAGACCTATATTAGACCCTAAAAATTATCGCCAGTGCTAACCAAATTGTGTAATATTTTTGTATAACTATAGAGGGAACTTACAAGGCTTTTAGTTGTGTTTAATTTTGCTCTTTTCCAATGAAATTTTGGTCAAACAAATTGCTTTTGTTTCAGGAAACACAATTTATCTCTGGGAGTTTTTACTGGCACTGCTCCAGGACAAAGCTACTTGTCCTAAATATATCAAATGGACCCAGCGAGAAAAAGGCATTTTTAAACTGGTAGATTCTAAAGCAGTATCCAGGTTGTGGGGGAAGCACAAAAACAAGCCTGACATGAATTACGAGACTATGGGAAGAGCTCTCAGGTACATGGAGTTTTTGTAGTTCATTGTGTTAAGAATATTGTTTCCTAAATACTAAAAAGTTAGGTAACTTCTAGAAAGGTAGAGGATTACAAAAATGGTGAATTTCATTATTGAAGTGCTAAGACAGCACTACTTCTAGAAATCAGTACGTATTTAAATTGAAGTCCTATTCTGGCCTGGGAAAATGTTTTTCTTCAAAAAAAAAAATCTTCATGCGAACAACAGATATTTTACTTGTAAAGGGATTAGAAAATGTAAACTCTCATCAGGAGTTATAAATTGACCAAGGGCTCATATGTTTTGAGCCGTTCAACTCGAATTCAGCACAAAATTAACATGGAGGGGTAATGCAGGTACTTAATAAGAGGGTGCATTTTTTAAACGTAAATCTCAGGTATGATCTGTAGATTGTTGGAGTAAATGCTTCAAGAATAGTATTACGCATTGTGTACATTTTGAACTGGGTAGGTAATCATTTTATTCCTAAGCTCATTTTTAGTGTGTTTTTTCTGTGATCCAGGTTATCTATTCTTCGAGATAGGCATCTGTTTGAGAAAGAGTTATTAGAAGTAGCATTTGATTAAACCATTAAACTTTCTTAAACCAGAACTATTTAGTTGCAGTTTGTGTTTGTTTTTTTAACTCACACTTTTTAGATTCTTGATCTAATTAAAATCAATGACAAAATTTGAGTCACTTCTATTTGTACATCATTAAATTTTATATGGAAAACTGAATCAGATTTACTGAATCAAATTTAAACTGGTAAGGACATTATAATAAACTACGGAAGGGAAATAAACTCTTGAGGTTTGTAGTAGATTTGATTATTCCAGCAAGTTGGAAGAAGGGGAGATGAAGGAAGAAAAGTGAATGACTAGGATAATCCACGTATTTTATCAACAATCCCCTCATCAGAATTGGTTTTAGGTTTAGTTGATAATAAGGATTTTTCTTTATCTGTGAGTATGTGTGTTTTACATTTATTTAGAAAATAATATGTTTAATTATACCATTTTATACAAAATAACTGCCCTTCATTGAAATTCTTCTCCCACTTGTTTCCAACTTTAAACTTTTATGATTAAAGAACTTCAGTTTTGTTGAACATAATTTTAATTTATATTTAACTGCATAGAATATTGATAAAATTGTCTGCTTTGAATAGGTACTATTACCAAAGGGGTATTCTGGCAAAAGTAGAAGGTCAACGCTTGGTGTATCAGTTTAAGGAAATGCCAAAAGATCTTATTTATATAGATGATGAGGATCCAGGTTCCAGCATAGAGTCTTCAGATCCATCACTGTCTTCAACAACCACTTCAAGTAGAAACCAAGCAAGCAGATCCAGAGTGTCTTCAAGTCCAGGGATGAAAGGAGGAGCCACTACAGTTCTCAAACCAGGGAATTCTAAAGCTACAAAACCCAAAGATCCTGTGGAAGTTGCACAGCCATCAGAAGTCCTGAGGACAGTGCAGCCCACACAGTCTCCGTACCCCACCCAGCTCTTCCGGACTATTCATGTCGTACAGCCGGTACAGGCTGTCCCAGAGGGAGAAGCAGGCGTAACCAGTAGCGTGCAGGATGAAACATTACATTCTTCCGTTCAGAGTATTAGGTGAGAAAACTAAAGTTACCAATGCATATCACTATGTGATGTTTCTGACCAGAGTCATTATTCGTTGATGACTCTGGGTCAGGATTCAGAAGTGAAAATAAAACTTACATTGATTTTAAAGCTAGAAATCTTGTTCAGCAGATTGTTTTCAGCAGCTGATTGTATCAGTGATTCCTTATTTTTAACTTTGTCATTACCTGATGTTATTCTGTCCATTTAAATCTTGTCCACTATACCTTTGTATAATTCGATTGATCCATACAAGAAGGGATCCACGTATTAGAAAATATAGCGAATGGTTTCAGATCTTTTTTCCAAAGTCAGAAGCTGTAAAAATTCTACATAAATTGACATATTGTGACCTTCTGAAATGTAGTGAGTTCCAAGAAATAACGTTATTCCTTGGGAAGATCCTATCACGGAACAGTTCTAAAGTCCAAAGAGGTAGGGAGGCCAAGAATCTAAGGTCCACTTTTTCAGGCTTTTAGAGTGGCAGAAATTGGAAGAATAGTTTTTTAGCAATCAAATCAAATTTGCCTCATAGCCCCAGGAAAGATATGAAACAACAAATTGACCAAAGAAACCTTATCAACTTTAGACTGGTCTTTTGCAGAATTTGGGACTGTTCTCGCTGATACAGAATGGAGGAAAAGGAGGAAGGCAGAAAATTAGATGGGCGTTTGCAGTATTTTTTTTTTCTTTTTCTACTATCATGAGTTTCCAGAATATGAATTATAATAAAATCTAGGAACCCTTCCAAATTCAATAAAAATGATTCTTCGATTACTTTCATTAGGTGACTTCAGTCTTAACGTTCGTATATTCCAGGATATAAATGCTGGATTTTTGTTGAGTTGATCTCGAAGTAAGAAACATTACCCAGAATCAAGGCAGTTAGAAGTTCCAGTCTTCCTTATATGGCCCATATGAACTTTTGGAATCATGAAAATCGACTTGCAATGAGTATAAAGATTACATTTTCCCCATTTTAATTAGGAATGATAAATCTTTAACTGTTATTAAAGGAGTACTTATTTATCTATTTGTCTTTTAATATTTTATTTTCCTCTGGGTCAATTATTGGTTATGTGTGATGACTGAGTATCTCATTGGATGTGATTCCTCTCCTTGGTTTCTAGGCTCTTTGTCATCTTATCATTGTGTGTATTTGTGTTGATAGGAAACAGTACATGGCCACAGCTAATCACTAGGAACCCCTTCTTGGAGTGATTCAGTTATTTTTTAGCATCTGTACTCAGTTTGCTTTTTATACCTTGAGGATAAAAACAAATACCCCCCCATAAAAAACCCCACATACCTCTAGCTCTGAAAGGTATTAAATTGTGATACTGTATTGGATGCAGTATTACTCTGAATGTCAACTTCTGAATGATACTCAGTGCCAGATATTAAAACACTATAATACACTCCCTATCCCTGATTTGCAAACTGTCTTTTGGTGTACTTTTCAGAATTTTCATTTCCAAGGTCCCTGATTATTCTGGATTATTCTGTGGACTCCCTGCCTGCTTGCCTCTATTATTTTTTCTCTCCAGTCCCAACCTATGTAAGACTCCTGGTAGCAGCTTTGCTACGTTAGCTTTTGTTAGATCTATGTTGCACACAGAGAGCAGTCAAATTTCTGGAGCTTCCGCACCAGCCCTCACTCTGCTCATGATTCCTTTGTTGCCTTCTAGCTCAGGCTTACTGCTTGGGTGCACTGCAGTCTAGTCAGTGAGCCAGGTGTTGCGGTTGACTTTTGTGCTCATCTCCTCCTATGTATTTAAATCTGTAGGAGCCACATTTTATTCATTGTCCTTCTCCTACCACTTTAACCTAGTGTCTGGCACATAGCATCCCTTCAGATTTATAGAACTTATTTTGAATTAGTTTATATATTCATTCTGTATCTCCTGTCAGAGCAGTGAGTTCTCTAAGTGGACTGCTTACATAATGAAAATAACAAAATTTAACTTTTCAAAACTTCAAAAAATCATTTTATGTGTATGTATATACACACATTCTTCATCATTCCTTTGGCTTTTATTTTTTTATTTTTTTTTATGTTAGTTTTTTTTTAATTTTTTTATTGTTATGTTAATCACCATATATTACATCATTAGTTTTTGGTTCCTTTGGCTTTTAAAAAAATTCTTCTCTCTTTCGGCTGTACCTTTTATTTGTATCTTCCAAAAATCCTACTTATTTTAAAGCATTTAAACCTTTTATGGAATGCATTTTATTCCCTGAAATTATTAGATGTGGAAAGGCCAAAGTTAATGAATAATAATACTCTTTGAAGACTAACAGCTGCTGAATATAATGACTCGGGTTTTACTGGTATTCCCTTCCATTATATAGAAAGAAAGAAAAAAAGTGTTAAATAAATTTCAAGCAAATTATACATACTACTCTGAAATTTTAATGTATTATTAGAATCATTTTTCATTAATTACTTGCTTAGCAATTTATTTTTTTGTATTTTTTTATAATTACCCTAACTTTTCATTATGAAAATTTTCAAAATATCAACAGATTGAAATAGTACAATGAACACCTATTTACATCCTCCTGGATTCACAGTTGATAATGTTTTGCCTTATTTGTTTTCACTCTATATTTATTTATACCCTTTTTTCTGTTTGGCTATTTGTCAAGTAAGTTGACATCCTTATGACATACTACTCCTAAACATTTCAACATACAGCTCTTAAGAATAGAGAGATTACCCTAAGTAACTGTATTATCACTCCTAAGAAAAATAACAGTACTTTGGCTATATTTTTCTTAATTTCATAACTACTTATTAATAAAATCAAAGACCATTTAAAGATTTTTTTTCTGTAGCTAAGATGGAATATATATGACTTAAAATTAGATTATTAAATTAATGTAACAAGAACTGACACTTTTTTCCAAAGCACTCTCTGTATTTCATACACTTTTCCACATATTGATGTCTAATATCCTCACTGATCAGTGAGATATAGGTAATATTATTCCTGTTTTACAGATGAGGAAACCAAGGCAAGGAGAGGCCAAGGAGCCTGGTCATATCTAGTGAGTGGTGGAGACAGTGTTTTAACGCAAGCAGTTTGGTCCAAAGCAGTGAGCTTGATGATTTGCCGGCCTGCCTGCTGATTCACTTAACTCTCATGAATTACAAGATATTTTACAATGAAGTAGCAACATGTTTTTTCTTTTTTCAATTTTTCCTTTGCTCCTGTCTTTTATTCTCACATAATTGCATGTTATCTATGTGGAAGTCTATTAAGCTTTTCTTAATTGATTTATGGTATATGTGCTCAATTTTTACAAATTTTGATTTTGACTCTGGCTTCATGTTATTTAAAGAAACAACTATAACAAAAGTAAGCCTCTGGTCAATTTTTTTTCCTAAAATTGTCCCTTGGTAGACTTGCAAGTCCATATACCTACCTAGCGTAACTTCTTTCTGTACAATATTTACTCAAGCACTAATAGTTTGTCTTAGGGTCTTTTGAGTAAATTAGCCTCTAAAAATATATAATGTTATCTTAAAAGCAAAGTAATGGAGTAGGAAGAATGTACGCTTAACTTTCCAGCCATCTGACCTTGTCAATTATTAGATGTAACATTGAATTGGATTAATTAACTATTCTGAGTCTGTTTCCTCATCTGTAAAATAAAGATAATACTTTACAGGTGATTGTAACAGTTAAATGACATTCTTGACATCTGAGTAGATATGCAGTAAAAACTAAATGTTAGAGTGTATATCTTTTTTAGTCTCAGAAAGTTTGAGGTATTTTAAATTTCCAGTATTATACCACTGGTTACAAGCAGCTTAGGAATTTTTTATGAAGTAGTTAACTATACTATAACCTTTGTTATATAATATAATATCACCAGACGCAACTGACTGTTTAATCATTAACTAAGACAAAAATAATTTAAAATTTCTGTGGTTGGGAAAAGGCTGCATAATATTTTACCTTTAATCTCTGAATTTTTTATTAGCAAAAATTATTTTAGAATATGTTCAAATATGCCAGTATATTTACACTGTAGATATTATAGATGAGTGTATGTATTTTCTGGCAGATGGCAGTCAAGTGTTTTGAGAAAAGGAGGTCTTTTTCTGGTTTGAACAAAAGCATTGAAAGTCTAGTGGTGGCCCTGATTAGCAATATGGAAAATTTCCAGGTACATTATTGCTTGTGCCACACCTGGGGGGGGGGAGGAAAAGAGGAAGGTGGAATTGTGTATTAAAGGTTGGTAATTGCCCACAGTTTAAAAATCTAATAGATAATATTCATCTTTAGCTGAAGTTATTTAGGACTGAAGAAGTGGCAGTGTGTTGTAATGTTTAAGCAGAGGCCTTGCAGTCATGTGGCCTCTTTTCTTATCTAACTGGTCACCTTATGCTAGCTCTTCACCCTCTTTGTGCATTAATTTTTTATGTATAAAATGGGGGTAATAGTACTTACCGGGTGGCAAGACTGTACATGTTCCTAGATAGAATCTGTGTGCTTACTATATACCATGTGTACTGTTTTATCTGTATATACATGTACGTGAACTCTTGTCATGGGAAGCCCTTTATTTAAGAAATGATCTCTGGCTGCAGGGTCAGGTACCTTACCCAGCCTCAGATTCCACCCAAGATATCCTGATTCAGGTCGGCAGAGGGGAGAAAGGAGGCACAGTATATTTTGGAAAAGCTGCCTGACTCCCAAAGTTATTCTGTGTTCTTCCAACTCTTCCTTGCTTGACCAATAGTATCGGTAAATCTGGCCTTTATTTCTAGTCATCCCCTGCCCACGTATTAAAAATCTTCATTACCCAACTCATACTCTTTTCTAGCTCTGTCCTTCAAAAGAGCTGCTAATATCCTGCTCTAGACTGATCCTCACAGTGACAACTTGGTTGGAATCTGAACTTGGAAATCAGAATCCTATCATAGTGGGTAGGCTCTGGTCATCCTGTGTCTTTCCACTTGCTTTGAGTTTCTCTTAAGTTGCACTGAATTTTCTTTCATATTTCCACCTAGCCCATTTGTTTTCTCCCGAGTTTCACTTCTCACATATGTGACAGGCCACATAACTGTAACTTACTAAAATTTGCCTATAATAATCTATGTGCAATGATTAACATTCAGATTATGGGGGCCAATCTAGCTGTGAATCATTTGAAGTAGCAATCATTTATTTTTTTTTTTGTAAAATAGCTTTACAGAATTCAGAGGAAACACAGTTGAGATCCAGATGCTGAGTTTTTTCAGCTGCATTTGTTTTATATTAACAATGGCCATAACTGTAATTTTCACAGCAGTGAACTTTTAAAATTGGATCAACTCACGATATCATTTATGTATCTCTTCAATAACTGGGATTAACAACCTTACATAAACTGGGTTTACATTAAAAGATTTTATGTTAAATTGTAGCTTTATGGCTAAAATTTGTGAAGATTATTTGAGCTGAGAAAACTGCTAAAACATGCTTCTATTTATTTTTGCCAAAGCTTGCCCTTATTTTTTGCTCTCTCTGCCAGCCTAAAGAATCGTCATGAATTAAAGTTATTTGTGACTTGTTTTATGTAATATGATATGAACTGTGAACTATTAAATTTCTTCTAAAAAAAACCAAAAAATTTCTTCTGATAGTTCTGTCACATATACATTTAAGACTGAGGTGTTTTTTTATTTTAGTTAATTGAGAATTTTTCTTCTATATATAGAAAAAGAGGTTGAAAACAATTACAATCCTATGAAGTTTGGTAATTGTGGATGAGCATTGTCCCTCAAGTATTAAAAATAATGAGAGTGAATCCAATACATTTGTTTTAAAATTCCCAATTTTCTTTCAAGCAGCTCATACATAACTTCTTTGCCAAGCATTTTGATATCCTCCTTCCAAACCAAATTGCTTCCCTATATGCATTTTATGTGGCACTTTGCACAGATTTTCTTTGCCCCATCAGGTAGTATCAGAGTTAATGGCTTGAGAGTTTTGTTTCAGGCATTTCCTATAAGACAGGGTCTGGTATGATGTTCTTGCTGTGTCGAAGATATGGGAAAGCAGCATTTCAAATGTATGACTCCTCTATTTTGTCAAAACGACTTGTCAAATGTTAAAGTTCCAAATAATTCTAGAATATGCTGATTTTCTGTTATTTTCATCATCTCAATAGGACTATACAGGCTCCTGCCCAAGTTCCAGTGGTTGTGTCCCCTGGGAATCAGCATTTGCATACAGTAACACTCCAGACTGTGCCAATCACAACAGTGATAGCCAGCACGGATCCATCTTCAGGTGCGGGGTCTCAGAAATTTATTTTACAAGCCATTCCGTCATCACAGCCCATGACAGTACTGAAAGAAAACGTCATGCTGCAGTCCCAGAAGCCGGGCTCCCCTCCTTCCATTGTCCTGAGCCCTGCGCATGTGCAGCAGGTCCTTACCAGCAACGTGCAGTCCATCGGCAATGGCACGGTCACCGTGGCTTCATCTCCGTCCTTCAGTGCTACGACCCCAGTGGTGACCTTTTCTCCTCGAAGTTCACAACTCGTTGCTCACCCACCTGGCACTGTCATCACTTCAGTTATCAAAGCTCAAGAAACAAAAACTCTTACGCAGGAAGCGGTGAAAAAGGAAGCTGAAGATAATTGGAAAGAAGACAGTGAGAAAACTGAGCCACAGCCTCAGCCTTATGTGATGGTGGTATCCAATTCCAACGGATTTGTCTCTCAGGTAGCTATGAAACAAAATGAATTGCTGGAACCCAACTCTTTTTAATTAATATACCAAAGGAATTATGGATGATTGTTTTTTAATTGAACGTTGTCAGTTGTCTGCAGACTATCTGATTGATTCTCAGAGAAATTCTGCAAATGTTCCTAATTTTGCAGTTACTTGTTAAAAATATTAATTTAGAGTTAATGTTGACTTTGTTGGATGAGGGAGGGAACCCAAGTGCTTCTCTTTGTTCTTCAAATGTTTCAGAATTCAATTGTGAAGGAACAGGCATTTTATACTATGAAGACCTTCTTTTCTGATTTTTTTTCAGTTGCTATATCATAAGCATTTTTAACATTTCTTTTTTAATTTTACATGGTATTAGCTTTTCTGATTCTTTTGTGAATACAGTACGTCAGTATAAAGCAACAGGAAATTTATGTAGGAACTATTTTCATTCCATTTGTGTAAGTGAAAGTCTTGACTCTTTCAAATGCAAGACACCTAATTTCTACTTTGTTAAAATTATGATTTCACTTAGATTGACTTTAGTTGGTTGCACTGCATAAGGAACTATGAATATGTACATAAAAATAACATGAAAAATGGGAAAATGTCCATGATACGGCTGAACCTTACTTCAGAAGCAGGAGAGTACAAAAGCGTCAGCCTACGAGTGGCTCTCCTGTTGACTTGGTTGTATAACTGGGCAAAGCCACTGGATCTTTTTGGGCCTCAGTTCTCTCAAAAAAGGAAGGGGGGGTGCATTGGGTTAGACTTGATGATCTCCAGTTTGCTTTCTGGTTCTAAATTTGAAGTTTCTAGCTCCTATATTTTAAAGTTAAAGCAACTAAAACATTATCACATATTTCTTAATGTAAATATAGGCTAACATATTACAGAAAAGTAAGTGGCCCTACAAAATTCATTCTTCTGTTACCTGTAAGATCTGCTATGAATCTAAATTCTTCCTAAATACTTTGTTCATTAACTCTTCAGGCCACTGTGCACCGTGGTCCATTAGTAAACTTACGTTGCCGAGTGCTAAACGATATACTGCCATTCTGAAAGAGTCAAAGCTCTTTCTTAAGGGCCCAGAAAGCAACCAAGCCTTGGGCTAATCTGGCTGAGTAGTCAGTTTCTATAAAAGCATAATTGCTTTATATTTTGGATCATTTTTTATTGGGAGTGGGGGGGTTGCATACAAAGATAATATACATATATATCTAAGTCTCTGAAATGAAATAGCTTTTAGATTACTTTTTCAACTGTAAATAATGTACATTTAATTTCACAAGAAAAATTGTTTTCTGCAAATTTTCTAGTACAGCAAAGGAGAAATTTTTGTAGATGAAAAAAATCATTGTTTAGAGGTCTGATGTTATATGTTTTCATATTATAGAGTGAATTTGTATTTAAACAAAAATTTAAATTTTGGAATCCTCTAAACGTTTTTGTATCTTTAATTGGTTTATTATTAAATAAATCATGTAAAAATCCTTAATGTTTGTGTTTTCAAGCAAATGTCTCTTAAGAACAAATACACAGAAAGTGTTGCTAGTATTTACAATGTTACTAAATGTTCGTATAACAAGCTCCACTGGTCAGGTTATACTTGCAGACTTGTCATCCTCTCATTTTTCCTTGTGGCTGTGCCAAACGGTGGCTTCCAGATGGCACACAATGGATCACCATAAGCTCTGAAAATTAGAAAACCATAAAATTTTCTCAGCAATGATATTCAACATACTTTAAAAACCAAGGTTTCTGATTAGAAAATAGATCTGTTAATTGTTAAACTTGGAAAACATGGAAACAGAAAAATAGAAGAAAATTAAAATCTTAGTGCAATACCCCTGTACACTTAATTTTCTCATGTCAGTTAATACTCTTCCAAAACATGATTTTAGAAGGAGCATTTCTATCTCTGAAGTCAGAGGGAAGCAGAGAAGAATCTGAATGAATAGGCCTTGCTAAATTTCCCCGTTCGCTACCCTTCACTCATACCCTGTTTTCCTGTCATTTTTCATGACTTTCCATTCTATCAAACCTAGTATAAAAACACTTAGGCTTAAGTATTTCTTTGAGTCTTTATTTTCATATGAAATCTCCCATGTCATGTAAAACATACTAAAATAAATACGCTTTCCTCCTTTAATCTGTCTCTCTCAGTTTGATTTTTAGGCTCAGCGAACGGGGTCATGGAAAAGTTCTTTCTCCTCCAGAACTCTCTCCTAGCCATGCATCCCCTAACATAATCTGATTGTACTGAACTCCTGAACAGGAGCATAGTGCTCATTCGGTACCTGACCTTGTACATCAAATCATTGATTCAACGTGTATTTGTTAAGGAAGGATCTGTGATGTTACTGTCACTGTCCTTAACCTAAAAACCTGACGCTTTCCTCATTTTCCATTCATTCTTTAACCCTCTGTAGTATTGCATTTGCTCTCACTATTACCCTGAAATTACTGTTGCAAAGGTAACCAACTAACTAGTAATTAATTTTCATATTGCCAAATTTCTATCCTTATCTTCCTTGACCTTTCTAGTATTTAACCTTTTATAACTCACTCTTAAATTCTCTCTTGCTTTCACTTTTGTGCCCAGCTTGTTCCTATTCTCCTCCGGCCTTTATAATAATTTCTTAGTATTGCTCCAGAGGCTTTTGCAAAGGTTGGAGTTCCCCACGTTTTATCCAGTGATCACTGTTCTTTTCTTTTCCTTTCTTTTCTTTCTTTTTTTTTTTTTTAAGATTTTATTTATTTATTTGACAGGGACACAGAGCTAGAGAGGGAACACAAGCAGGGGGAGTGGGAGAGGGAGAAGCAGGCTTCCCACTGAGCAGGGAGCCCGATAGGGGACTCGATCCCAGGACCCTGGGATCATGACCTGAGCGGAAGGCAGACGCTTAACGACTGAGCCACCCCGGCGCCCTGATCTCTGTTCTTTTCATTGTCCTCGTCTTGTGCCCCCCAGTCTGTCTCCCCAGTGCAACAGGAGCGCCCGTTTAATTATGTCGAACCCTTCAGTGTTGAGCCCTTCCTTACTGTCCTCAGAGTTGATGTCCTGCATTGTCTTACCCCTTCTTGGTCCCACCAGCCTTATCTTCAAATTTTACTCTCCAAATCGTAACTGTCAGTAAGGATTGGGATACTTTCAGTTGCATGAAACAAACAAAAAAGCCCAACTCATAATTATTTAATAGTACAAAACAAGAAGTCTGGAGTTAGGTTTCCAGGTTAGTTAATTCCGGAACTCAGGGGTGATAGCAACCAGATTTCTTCCCTCTCTGCTTTCCCATCCTCAGGATTTTGGTTACTTTCTAGAATGGCTTCTGCCATAGTTGCAAGTTCCTTCTTTGTTTCTGTTTATCAGTAAGAAGACCTTTCCCAGAATACCCTGAGCAGCCATCTCTTCAGAGCTTATTGGCTAGATTGGTCGTATACCCCTTCCTAAACCAACTGCTGGCCAAGGAAGTAGACTTACCATAAATGGCTTAGTTGTGTGTTAGGGGCATGGACAGCCAAACAAAATTAGGGCTCCATAGCAAGAAATAAGGGAGGAATGATGCAGTTTACTATCACCTATACACATCCTCCTTCCTTTACATACACTGTCAAAAGTGCTCATGCCTACATAAAGCTTCTTTCCAAAAGAGAGATCAGCCAAAGTCTCATCCAGTTACTTGATCCAGTTTCATGACGAGGATGTTTGGGATGATGTGCAGACCTCTTTTTCAGATCAGCTGTGCTCCCTGGTTTCTTGTCCTCCTCAGCCACATCTAGTATGAGCGCTCAGAAACAGATTTTTTTCCAGGGTTCCCCAGCTTTAGAATACATTTCTGGGTGGTGTAAGTTTGATGCCCTGTCCCAGGGTCACCATATTCCCGTCTAGAAGAGTTGTGTCCTCAGTGCCTTGCATCCTGTCTCAGGACATAGTTGGCCAGTTACACCTACCAGCGTCAGTTGGGGATCATTCCACTTCCAAATACCAAACTCTCTGTCAGTGGGAGTTCTTGGTCATTAGCAACAGAAATGATTTCTGGTTCTTAGCATAAAAGAAGTTCTGTTAGAAGAATACTGCTTAGCTCATAGAATAGACACAAGGACTAGAGAATCGAGATCCATCTGAGTCATATAGCTAGGAACAAACTGCACAACTAGTCTAGCAGGGAAATTGTAGCCACTGTTGTCAAGTACCGAAGACCAAGCTTTGTATTACTGTCTCTACTGCCTTAGGAATTGGATATTGATAGGAGTGCTACTGCCTCTAGAGAGAATTAACCAAGGTACTTCCTTGATTCATTGTTGTCAGCTAGCTACCAATTTTTGTGACTGACAGAGCCTACGTCAAGTGTCCAGCCAGGACTTGAACTCCAAGGGATGTTGAGAAAGCAAAAGTTGAGCTTCTCAACTAGTTTGACATTTTCAGCTTCTATAGAGGTGGCTGCCTCAGTGGGCATTAAGACTCAGGGAATCCCCCAAACATAAGGGGGCTGAGATTCTGAGCTGCCTAAAAGAATGACCTATGTCTTCTGTGCGGGAAAATCCAGATTTTGTGGAGCTTGAATTTACACAATTTGGTGATTGGGTGGGTGAAGGGGATGTAGTTAGGAAAAAACAAAACCCCTGCATTTGCTGTCACTCTGTTTTTGCATAGTTTATCTCATTCTTTTTTTAAAAAAATATTTTAAGTAATCTCTACACCCAACGTGGGGCTCAAATTCATGATCCCGAGATCAAGAGTCACATGCTCTTCCGACTGAGCCAGCCAGGTGCCCCCAGTTTATCTCATTCTATTTGGCTAACTTCTACCTGTTCTTTGAACCTCAGCTTAGACATTACTTCCTGAGAGCTTTCTCTGAGCTCTTAGAAGCTTCCCACTGCTGTCATAGAGCCTTTTAATTTCTCCCATTTGGGCACATGCAACAGGACGATAATTGCTGGCTGATAGGTGTGATTGCAACACTATGTAAGAGCCAAACTTGTAGTCATTTTAGTACTCTCAGGTCCTAGTGTAATATCTATACACTGTACATACTAGATATTTATTAAATACCTAACTACATTCTCTCCTTGCCCGTTTTCACACTAGTTTTCTCATGTTGCTAACTACCATCTATATGCTGATGACTCAGATCTTAT